GACAGTGAAGTAACAGACGACACGTGTGCGATGCGTTACTGACAATTTGGTGAAGTAGCGGACAACACCTGTATGACGCGCTACAAACAATTTGGTGAAGTAGCAGACGACACCTGTGTGACGCGCTACAAACAATTTGGTGAAGTAGCAGACGACACCTGTGTGACGATCAATTGACAATTTGGTGAAGAATCAGACGACATCTGTGTGACGCGCTACTGACAAGATGGTGAAGTAGCATACGACACTTGTGTGACGCGCTACTGACATTATAGTGAAGTAGCAGACGACACCTGTGTGACGCGCTACTTACACGATAGTGTGGATGTAGACGACATCTACGGAATGCGCTACTTTAACAATAGTGAAGTCGCAGACGACACCTGTGTGACGCGCTACTGACACGATAGTAGCAGACGACACATGTGTGACGCGCTACTGACACGATGGTGAACTAGCAGATGTTTGTGTTGCCGCTAATTGTTTTAGTATAACACTGCTAAATAATCGTAATGTATCAGCTATTAAATATAAGGGGAAAATATACTTCTCCATAGTAAACTAGCTTATTTGTTGGGTATGTATAAACTTATTAATATTACATATCAAACTTGTTTTATTTTGAAATTCCCCTTTTGTTAATAATCAATGTTCCTCGTGTACGATATGGTGACGTAGGGTAAGGTTTGGTAAGAGTATGAACTTCTAGAGAAAACAATGTACTATTGTGTATTAGCCTAAGAGAAAGGTAACAATTATGTAACGATGTTAGCGTTTGAGCCTTGGTAATTTAGAAGAAAGATATTTTATCTATCTATCTATCATATTCCCAACCTTTTTTCTGTTTGTAATCATTCTTCGTTAGTGATAATAACAAGATTTTCCGGGTAGGGATATAAATCATTTTTAGCATAATCCATTTTATGGAAGAGAATGTTTTAATTTGAAATTAAAAGAATGTTTAAATTAAAACATAAATTAAATTTGTCCGACGTAAATGATGATACAATGATGAGTATCAGTATATTAACTCATTATTAGTCATTCACCCTTGACGACACATTTGAACTCTTCCTATTCAAAGGTTAGAATGGTTCGTTATAACATTTCAGGGATGAATGAGTTAAAGAAAGTTCATGAACCAAGAAATTAACATTACAGAAAAGCCTGTACCAATTACTTGACGGAATACCATTAAACCATTATTTATCATAACAGAATATCACGGTAGAGTATTTTGCATTCAGGAAATTCCTGTACATGTACCCTTCATTACATTAGAAAATATCCCTATCAAGTATTTTACATTACAGCCCTGTATCTAACATTATGCATTACAGTTAGTAGTATGTCAACATGTCTTTTCTACGTTTAATTTTTACCTGTATCGCTGACTTGTTTTTTTGGCGTTTATAATTTCCCATAATATCACAATCTTTTCGTCATTTTCATCTTTAAATGACACAACTTTTAAACAACTTTTTTGAACAAGTCGAGGTGACAACTGGTCTCTCTAACCAGGCATTGTATCACTCATATAAAATTGATTTTCACAATTTAAGTTATGGTTGATATTTTTGAGTTATGTAAAGATTTCGGAGTTTCCTGCTAATGCTTTAAAGGTGCTCTTTTATGTTGGGGGAGGAAAAGGGGGGGGGGCGGCTAAGCCGAAACAACAAAATATACTCAACTCGCGAAATATTTCCAGGAACACTCATTACGCTTTAACTTGTGAACTTGAATGTTTCAGTCTATTCATTCATATTACATATGATATCTTAAAAAAGTATCATCGTTTACGTCCGGCGATTATCTTATCTTGATTGAAACCACATTTAAGACCCCCCGCGCGCTAATATCCGGACCAACTAGAGTGATTATTTAAGTTGAAAAAACTTGTTTCATAATTGTTGTAAAATAAATAAAGATGATACATATTTGATCTTAAATGAAGATTTTTGTTTTCAAATGTTAATTTTTAAATTTTCCAAGGACGACACAAGGCAGCATGCTTTTTTAAATACCGCCAACATTCACAGAATAATCGCCAAAAATGCCCATGAGAAAAATGGAATATATCGACATAGCGTGCATAATACATTTAAATAACATTGATAAATCTGTAACAGAATGTTTGTAAGGTTAGAAAAGCATATTTAACGAAAAATAAAGTAACTATAGGAATTACCCCGTCTCCTTACAACACCAGAGTATCAGTTATTTAAAGCTATACAATTTTTATTGAATAAAAACCCGGGTAGCTAGAGGTACCCTCAATATCAACGGTCGTCAAAACGTCATTTGCAAAGAGAACACATAAAAAAGGCAAGAAATCAAAATCACAATACCCGTTATTGGCAAGCTTGATTACACATTGTATCATACAAAAGAAACACCTTATAAAAAAGTGCTTTTGTCATGTACAATGGATAAGCAAAGATGAAATAAACAATCAAGAAAAACAATTAAAAGAAATTAATACAAATCTTTGTAAATGGTAAAGTTTTGAATATTAGAATATGTATATAACTTATAAGTCGCCAACGTGTCATATATTTGAAACATAACCGGCTGTCCCATTACAAATATGAGCTTATCAGAACTAAATAATTTACATCTTCAACGGATAATGAATAATTTCAATTCACTTAGAAATGTGCATACTAACCCCTAACAGATGGATGCATATGGATACACAATAAAACATGCATATTAATAAATTGGCGCTGATCGTTGATCTAAAACAATTACACGAGTATCTCTAAATTAATTAATTATTCGAGAATGGATCTCATTAAAGGGTGTTCCTATAGTTCGTACACTCACCATCCGGACGAGTATGTGTCGTGAAAACAGGTTTTCAAACTAGTAAGTGCAATCATTCGTTATTCTAGAATGTGCTGAAACTTACGAAGTTTCAGTTTAAACCTCAAATTCATATCCTATAAAATAAAACAATCATGAACGAAATGAAAAGTGGGGTGAAAATTACACGACAGCAAGACGGCCCTGTCTATGTGCATGGGGATATTGTGTTTAAAACAATCGTGCTGTGACGTCATTTTGCATAGACTGCCAGTGATATCTACTCATTTATATTAATTTTACAAATGGAAAGTTTCAGAAGAATCATTGAGTATACACATCACCGTATATAGACCTTACACCTACCATACACCAGAAACTGTCTTATATAGCCGCCATTTAATTTGATATTCACAGAGCGATTCAAAGACAAATTGAGCAAGCATGTTCCTTTCTCCGCTTTAAATAATTCAAAAAGATTAAATGCAAAAGTTAATAAAAACGATAAATACATATTAAAAGGTCCTTACGTCACACGATGAATGGCGACATGGATTCTTCATCAACAGACATTAAAAACTTGCTTGAATATCACAATAACAAAAATGCATCCACTTTGTTATACCTTACTTTACATATACATAGATCATAATTAAGAAATGCATTAAATCTCCGTAGCTTTTTGCTTACATTTTCTCTTAGTTTGGTATAAAATTGGTTAAAAATGACAGTAACACAGCCGAACAATTACATATAAAATGGCTAGGTGCATATGAATACACTCGGAAGCATAAACAAGGTGATTTGGCACAAATGGTCAACACATATCAAAATCAATTATAACAATATTTAAAAAAAAGAAAAGAAAAAAAAAAGAAAGAAAATGAATGACAATAAAGACACGCGCAATAATGACCGATACAACCGCTATTCTTTCCATATCATTAACATTTTACTGTATATAGCCCATACATGTCTTGTCGCGTTGTCATAACTATTACACATTAGCAACGGGGTAAATCATTAACAGAGAGTAGTGATGTTTAAAGCATATATCCAAGAGTTAGCTGTTAAAGCAAACCACAGGTAGTCCTACGGAATGTTTGTGGAACAATTTATAATAAACCTGACAAAATGATACCAGCTAATGGATCACTCCCGAAACTATTTATGTTAATTGTTTGTATGACTACCAAAACAAACTACTTCAATGGCTAACGGTGTGTGGATCAGCTGTGTCCCATCAAAATCTGATTGAATTAATGTACTGTCTCCCATAAATATCTAATGGTATGTGGATCAGCTGTCTCTGGTCAATATCTAATAGTGTGTACGGATCAGCACGTTCCTGTCAATATCTAATGATGATTAGATCAGCACATTCCTGTCAATAATTAATGGTGTGTAGATCAACTGTCTCCTGTCAATACCTAATGATGTGTTGATCAGCTGATTCCTGTCACTATTTAATGGTGCGGATGAATTGTCTCCCATTAATATCTGATGGTGTGTGGATCAGCTGTCTACCGCCAATAACTAATGGTGTATGGATCAGCTGTTTACCGTCGATATCTTATAATGTGTGCATCAGCAATCTCCTGTCACTGTTTAATGGTGTATGGATCAGCTGTCTACCGCCAATATCTTAGTGAGTGTGGATCAGCAATCTCCTGTTACTGTTTAATGGTATATGGATCAGCTTTCTCAAGTCAATATTTAGTTGTGTGTGGATCAGCTGTCTCCTGTCACTGTTTAATGGTATGTGGATCAGCTTTCTCAAGTCAATATTTAGTTGTGTGTGGATCAGCTGTCTCCCGTCAATATGAAATTGTGTGAGAATAAACTCTCTCCTATTAAAATGTAATAGTTTTTGTTGATAACCTGTCAATATAAAATGCCTTTTTAATCGTAGAAATAGTTGAATGGCTTAATTAATTCAACAAGTACATAGCAGGTTTTGTAAACAAAACCACTTCAGACAGTTAATGGGCAGTGTAAATATAATACTCAGACCTTTGTCATTCTAGTAGTCCAGATATAGTCCTGACTGAACACAACATCAGTAACTCTCAACTAATGTTCGCCTGCACATTTTTCTTAAGACATCTTCTTTATATCCATTTTTGTAGCAATATACAAACCATAAGGAATCAATCATGTTATTCAAAAACAGGAACAAGTTGAATAGGGTGCCATTTGCTTCAAGCTTCATTGGGTCAATATTTTATTTAAGTCAAAGTGTGAGTTTTATCCGCTGAATATATATAATGTGATCGTTGATATATGTACAATTTGTTGACTTTCTTTAATCGTATAATTTGTTGACTTTCTTTAACCATACAATTTGTTTGACTACTTTAACCGTTCAAATTGTAAGGCCTCATTAAACTGTACAAGTTTCTTTAAATATCTTAACCGTACAATTTGTTTGACTTTATTTAACCGCACAATCTGTTTGGATTTCTTTGACCATTCAAATTGTAAGGCTTCATTAAATTGTACAAGTTTGTTTAAATTTCTTTAACCGTGCAATTTTTTTGGATTTCGTTGACCGAACAATCTGTTTTACTTTCTTTAAACGTACATTATTTTGTATATACTTGTGTGTACAATGAACTAGTTATACGTGTACTTGTAATCATGATAAGGACCACCAATGATTGTGGATATGTTTAGGTGTGCTTGCAACCACGATGAAATCAACAAATATTGTGTGTATATATGTGTATAGGTGTAATTATGATGAGAACCACGAATTGTTGTATATGTTTATATGTGTATAGGTGTAATCATAATAAGAACCACCAATTGTTGTAAATGTTTATATGTGTGTAGGTGTAATCATGATAAGAACCACCAACTGTTGTATATACATATATGTGTGTAGGTCTAATCATAATAAGAACCACCAATTGATGTTTGTATTTATGTGTTTACGTGTAATCATGATAAGAACCACCGATACTTGTCTATATATAACTGTGTACGTGTAATCATGATAAAAACCACCAATACTTGTTTGTAGATATGTATAAACATGTAATCATGATAAGAACCACCGATACTTGTGTGTATATACTTTTGTACGTGTAATCATGATAAGAACCACCAACTGTTGTATATGTTTATATGTGTATAGGTTAAATTATGATGAGAACCACCAATTGTTGTATATATATATTTGTCTGTGTACGTATAGTCATGATAAGAACCACCAATACCTGTGTGTATATATGTGTGTACGTGTAAAAATCAATCAATTGCCGTGTTTAAGAAAAAATGGGGATTAAGAACAATTCGCTTGACAGGCCGAAATTTCACGAACATTCCTCAACTTGAGTTTTTTTCCAATTAGGTGTCATACTAGGTGATGTTCGGTAAGTGGGTTTTTTCAAGGAAGGTGTTATCTTTTAATTTAAGGAAAGTTGCCGTCATAATGTTAACCTTTCTTGAAAACACTTTCGTATATTAAGTAAAGTTCATGAAACTTGGGCCATGTAACGTAAAATAGGAATCATCTGGATATGTTTGATAATATACAGGTTTTAAATGTTCCACAGCCCTTGTAGAGTTGAGGATCGCAATGCCTAGTTAAGTTCTGCCATACGATTGTCGTCTAAACGAAAGAAAAGTTAATCGGATGTTACAAAACTGTTTCCTCCGAATAGGTGACACCATCGTCGGAACGAGCTTTTTCATAAGCCCTATGTAAGTCAAAATCGGAGTTTCGAATAACAACATCCTTCAGGGACGTTGCCTCTTTAATTGTTTTGAAATATTTATACTTTGGCGATTCCTTCCCGGAGAAATGTTTAATTGTCGCATGTCCATTCATGTACGTTTCTATGTATGATTCTTCGGGTGGATTTCTGTTGCCAACAACTGTGATTGTCCCGTATCCATCCTCGTCCGAATTTGTGAGCAATGAGTTCTCCCGGAAAGGGTTATTTACGCACGTGCTCCGACTTGTTCTGTATTTGTCGCGCTCCTCTTCTTTTGTACCACGTGATCGCACATGCGTGTAGAAGAGCGTGAAGTTGTTTGATATTACAGGTATGGTAAGCGCTATCATCAATACACCACTGACAGCACAAGCGGCCCCTACAACGTAACCGATAGGCTGTGTGGGTGTAATGTCACCGTACCCTACCGTAGTCATAGTAATAAGGGCCCACCAAAATCCCATTGGAATTGTGTTGAATTTGTCGCTTGGTTGAACAGCGTCCTTTCGTTCTGCATAGTAGATCATGGATGCAAACACAAGCATGCCGATGAGGAGGAATATAGCAAGCATGAGCAACTCTTGAACACTGGCTTTGAGAGCATAAACCAATATCTTCAATGCTTGGTAGTGTTTCACGAGGTGAAAAATTCTGAACATTCGAACAATTCGTAAGACAAACATGATTTCGATCATTAAACGTTCGTTTACATAACAAAACTGTAAATGGTCAGTGTTGAACACTAATTGCATATACAGGGGAACCAACGCTAACAAATCTATGATGTTCATCATAGATCGAACAAACCGAATTTTTTCCGGTGCAAATACAAATCTCACTGCCAATTCTATTGTGAAATACGCAGTGCATATGATGTCGAGTATATTGAGACCCTCGTTTTGAGTCATGACCTGTACTCTCTGTGACCCATCGCCGCACGTGGAGGTCGTGTTATCGGAGCGCGTGATGTTCCTCATTGGCCTGAGAATAGGAAGCGACTCCAAACAGAATCCAAGGATTGACACAATGACAAACAGTAGAGAGACCACGCCATATATCTACAATGGAAAAACAGGAAGGAAGTAGAACTTTATTTCAACTTTGTTAATTATCATACGCATGCGCATTTTGAAAAGTCAATTCTCAGAATTCTAAAATCTATTTGATTTTCACACTTTCATATATATCTTATTCATTATACAATAAGAAATATCAATAGCTCACCATGGCAAGTCGTGATGTCCTAGGGTGTTCTAGAATGAGCCAAATTTTCATCTGAAATCGCTTCCATCCTTCATACTCGTCGATGTTGACGTAAAAACGCTCCTTCTCGAGACTGCGGTTGAAGGAATCGAGAATAGCTTTGTTCTCGATGTATGAACGGTAGTGTCGCCAGCAGCAGGATTTGATACAGTACTGGTTGACCTGCCAGTAGTCGAGTTCCCGCTTCACCACGGCACCGCATACTTCTAACGGAACGTGAAGTTCTCCTATATCAACAAAAACACACTGTAATATTAAGATGCCTTTACAAGAGTTAAGTCCCTTTGTTGGTGTAATGATAAACAGCATTACTCTCCACCGTACGTTAAAGTGGTCCACTGATAGAAGAATTTACGCATGACTACAGGAAGAATTATTAACATACCATGAACGTCTAGTAGCCATGACGTGATAACTCAGAATTAAAGCATTTTGGAAATTACAGACAACATATTATCTTAACATAAAATCATTAATTATAATGCATATTTTTGATATATTTACATATAAATAAGATGTTATAGGATTTAACTATTTTGTATTGTGATAATGACATGAAATTCCAAATCAAAAGCAATTGACAAAATGTCACTTACAGTCATTTATAATTTGAGAATCTATTAATTTCATTTAAGATATACATATTTGTTTCAAATGTGAAAAGACCTTTTTACTTTAACTTTTTTCTGCAAACATTAAAACTTCCATTTACAAAATAATTAGCCAAAAAGTCTTTTTCAGTTTTCTTAAATACAAAATTAACATTATTTTGATAATAAAACATGCATGCAAACTCAAGGTTTTAATAAATCAATGTTGACATTGGTCACATCTGGCCCTTTTGACCACACTAGGTCGGTATTATCTAGGGGTTATGGAGATCTATGAAGATCTATGAAGACAAAATATATAGGATCAACTCATTTCGAAGCTATACAATGTCAAAAAAGCAATGTTAACCAAAGTTTAGCAAAACTCACACAAAATCAGCCATGCGTTAGTGTGTACCATGACTACGAGCGATATGAAGGACGAATAGATACGCGCCATACACATACCCGTGACCTTGGCGTATTTACATGATGACGGTCATAAAAACCAAATTCACGTGATAGGAACTGTATTGCAGACTAGTTGATGACGGATAAACTCAATCATATATCATTATAGTATTGTTGGGCCGTAACTGACGAGTAACTTAATATTTAGTATGTTAGAAAACTTGACTATGACAAGACGTAGTAAATTTCGATTTTAAAATAATTAACTACTTATAACTGACCAATGAACTACATATTTTCTGAGCAATGAACAACTATGAACTGAAAATGGACGACTATTAACTGACCAACCATCTGTTATGTATTAACTGACCGAACTACTATTAAATAACTATTGAATTGCTACATGTATTTACTGACCAATGAATTCTACATGTATTTACTGACCAATGAACTACCATTTACTAAACAATGAACCGCTTAATATTATCTGATCAATGAACTGCTACATGTATTTACTAACCAATGAACGGCTAAACATTTCTGACCAGTGAACTGCTACATGTATTTACTGACTAATGAACTATTATTTTCTGACCAATGAACTGCTACATGTATTTACATATCATTGAACTGCTATGGACTGACCAGTGAACTGCTACATGTATTTACATACCAATGAACTGCTACGGACTGACCAGTGAACTGCTACATGTATTTACATACCAATGAACTGCTATGGACTGACCAGTGACCTGCAACATGTATTTACATACCAATGAACTGCTATGGACTGACCAGTGAAGTGCTACATGTTTTTACATACCAATGAACTGCTATGTACTGACCAGTGACCTGCAACATGTATTTACATACCAATGAACTGCTATGGACTGACCAGTGAACTGCTACATGCATTTACATATCAATGAACTGCTATGGACTGACCAGTGAACTGCTACATGTATTTACATATCAATGAACTGCTCTGGACTGACCAGTGAACTTATGTTTATTGTCCAGTGAGTTACTCGCTACTGACCAGTGTGAGAATACAGAACACATGATTCTTCTTATGAAGCGTTAACCTTACCGATGTAACTTTGTCAATATGAACCAAATAACCCTACAAATATACACAGTATGATCCTTCGACCTTTGTTTAATCGCTGATAAAATAATGCAGAGGTTATAAAATCAATATATTTGAACATATCATGCGGTTTTAGGATTTAACTTTGAAATAGAACCAAAATACTGTGTTGAAAGAGGATAAAATGTGTGCAGATTTGCATAAAGTGAAAACGAATATATGTAGCGTTTGAAAACATTACCTTTCACTTGTTATAAAAATCGGATAACTCTGTTAAGTCATTTGCAATTTGAGTTTATTTTTTAATTGCAAATGCTTTAACACGTAGAAATGTAAGTTGTTGTTTTTTTTTTTTGCACGATATATCTATTTTTAGAGATGCACGTATTATTGCTATAATCACGTGCGTGGTACGTGAATGACACGTCATCACGCCGTACCAAAGCTAACTCGTGTTAACAAATCAAGCCGTGCGTTAGTGCGTTGGTGACTTCCGGTATGCTGTTGTGCGTTAACATGTTGATAAAAAATGTTAAGGAAAGGTCAAAGGCTGAATTTTAAATGTTGCTCAAATCAAAGTTAAATAACTTAAAATAACTTCAAAAGAATGTGCAAGCTTGTTTAAGAAAAGTAGAGTAAATGAATTACTTCCCCTTTACACAGCTGATCAGCTAGCCACTGGTGGCCTATCAAACAAATTTCCTGAAATGGCCCGAAATGTTCGTTCTGACGCCAAAAGAGAAAGACACTTATGACGTAATGCATGTGCTTAGATCATCTGGTCACGTGACAACCAATCACCGATGGGATGGAACTGAAACACGTGATCATCTTCCAGTCGAAACGTTCGTGTTGAATGTTATGGTCAGAAAGTCATATCACCGTATTCAGGTCTTCTGAACGTTACTTTTTAAATATCAAAATTCTGTCAAATTTTATGTTGATATGTTTTTTTAACGGTTTGATAGAAGTTTCGCATTGTTCGAAAGCATTATTTCTGATTGAACAGAACTATGGAAGCTATATGACTACCTATTCAAACAAATCATTATTCACTTGTTTTTGAGCCATGAATAAATCGATACGAAACAGATGAAACCCAAATGTTTTATTGACCAAGTCTACGGCAGTAATCACTGAGAGCAAACAGCAGTAATGGCAGCATCAGCTTTAACAGTAGTCGGTCAGGCGTGACTGCTTTTGCTCTGGAGGCTGAGCAGCACAACGCCTAAACCTTAAATCGCCCCAGAGTTACGTTACAGAGTTGACACCATTGTCGAAAGAAGACTGATTAAAGCTAATTGATGGCGGGATTAATGTATGTGCATCAGTTCGTTACTTGCATGGTTAGATATGTACAATCCGCAACACTATCACTGAGTTCAGCGTTTTTCTTGCACATTTCTAGACACATGGGTCTTAATGTGCCATGGTTTGGAACAGGAAAGGGTATGGCAACACAACCACATGTACCGTGATAAGTGGTAAACAACGCAGAGCTACATAACGTACACAAACAGGGGTCATAATCTACTTCAGGTTTTGACATACGCATTAAATAATTAGTCTTTCGCTCTCCCATTAAATCCGTTCGCAACGATCATTCATTCATGCATTACCTCATTCGTTCGTATATTCTTTGTGTCGTTCATTTATTTGTTCACTCGTTGTGTCATTCATTCATTTGTTCATTCGTTGTGTCGTTCATTCATTTGTTCACTCGTTCTGTCGTTCATTCATTTGTTCATTCTTTGTGCTCGTTTGTTCTTCTTGTTTCCTCATTCTTTCGTACATACGTACGTTCATTAATGCATTCATTAATTTTCTCCTTGTTTCGTTTGTTCCTTTTTGCCTGTTTGCCTATTGATTATATCAGTTTCATCCCACGTGTAATTGTTCCAATCAAGAGCGTATTGCAGTTTCGTAAATTCACAGACTTCGGATAAAGGTCAGACACTGACAGTTTTAGGCTATTCTTAAACAGTGATTAACTTAAGGATCCCCGTACTACTTCATAAAACTGTAAATAAGTGTAAGAAGCTGGGATTTTTTCCGGCATGGCTAACGTTTTCATAAACAATTTCTAAAATGAAAAACCATACCTTACCGGACTTTTATGAAAGTTGATAAAGATGAAATAAACAAAATACAATCAATATTAGTGTTTTGTGTGTAACAATTCAGTGTTGCTAGACTGAGATTCCAACCCCGGACTTCAGATTGTAACAGATTGAGCTACCTGGTCATCGGAAGTTTTCTGTCCAAACTTTTCTACAGTTATATCCAAACGGAAGTTAAGGGGAGGTTACTCTATATAGGAAAAACATAGTGCAGTGCCGGGGAAAGGAATCCTTAAATGATAGTTTGTTGTTTCGTCCAAATAGCAGTTACAGATAGAACGGCGGCAGCGCGCTCTTGTTTGAGGTTAGAACAGCAAAACAGAGAACTAGGAAAACACACAACGATCACGCAATAGGGTCTCGTTATTTTATTTTGACGCCATGTGATCTCTCTTACCCAGTCAAACGCACTGTTACTTAGGTGAGAAATAATAACAGATAATGAGAGTACAAGACCTAGCACAATGCGCCAGACAATCACCATTACTTGCTTAAACACAACAGTACTAGACAATAAAAGAAGCACTACTACGGGGACGCCACGTGTCTACGTCTATAAGGAAAACATTGCAGTGTAACAGAGTGTTGTAAATATATACCCCGAAGTTCCATCAGCTGTAAACATATCCTCATCTCAATGTGATACAGGGCGGACAACGTTACAATTACTGGTTTCCATGAATCCTGGTTTAAATCTAAGAACAAAGTTGAGATAGGAAGATAGAAGTATAGAAAGTTAAATGCATTGTGGTAGAGATAGAGGTATAGATAGTTATGAGTATGTTTTTTAACTACATCCAACGATGCCCCTGTACAGATTTATGAATTGCTATCATAGGAGAGTAGATCTGTATATTTATTTAATACGCCAAATCATCCCTAAGTGCTGATTTTCGTCAATATCTCGTCTCCATGGATACAGGAAGGATTACCGGTATTGCTCAACCAACCATATCTACAGACAAGGATGATGTGGTTAGAAGCTCTATCAGCTAGTACCAATGTATTTTTTG